GTCACCTGTGAAGAGTGAAGAAGGGAAGAGAAAGAATGGAACGTCAGCTTTGTATCTAAACATCTTCTCTTAAAAAAGACTGCAAGTAAATATATGAAGATACTGATTAATTCTGGATTGTGATATATGGATCTCTAATTCTTATTTTCTATACTTTTCTGTATTTTTAAAATTTCTCAGAATTAGTAAGAATGAGGGTGAGGATGGGAACACTGTACCTGTGGAAATCATGCTGTAATATTCATTCCTGGCCGGCTACAGTGGCTCACACCTGTAATCCCAGCGCTTTGGGAGGCCAAGGTGACTGAATTGCCTGAGCTCAGGAGTTTGAGACCAGCTTGGGCAACATGGTGAAACCCCATCTCTACTAAAAATACAAAAGAATGACCTGGGTGTGGAGGCATACGCCTGTAATCCCAGCTACTCAGAAGGCTGAGGCAGGAGAATCATTTGAGCCTGGGAAGTAGAGGTTGCAGTGAGCCAAGATGGAGCTATTGCACTCCAGCCTGGGCGACAGACCGAGACTCTGCCTCCAAAAAACAAAACAAAAAAATCATTCCCAATCAAAAACTACATTTGTATAGAAAATATTTCTAAAATTTTACCAACGAGTGGATGGACTTGCTCTGTATATACCACAAAATTATCCATTTTTTTACATTCAGAATGAAGGGCATGGTAGCTCATGGCTAAAGTCTTTCCTCTTCAGGAGGCTGCAGTGGGAGGACAATTTGACTGCAGGAGTTTGAGACCAGCCCGGGCAACATGATGAGACTCCATTTCTACAAATAATTTAAAAATTAGCCGCAGTGCCAGGCGCGGTGACTCACGCCTGTAATCCCAGCACTGTGGGAGGCCAAGGCGGGCGGATCACCTAAGGTCAGGAGGTCAAGACCAGCCTGACCAACATGATGAAACCCCATCTTTACTAAAAATACAAAATTAGCTGGGTGTGGTGGTGCATGCCTGTAATCCCAGCTACTCAGGAAGCTGAGGCACAAGAATCGCTTGAACCTGGGAGGTGGAGGTTGCAGTGAGCCAAGATCACACCATTGGACTCCAGCCTGGGCAACAAGAGCAAAACCCTATCCAAAAAAAAAAAAAAAAAAAAAAAAATTAGCCGCTGTGAGACGTGATTGCACCACTGCACTCTAGCTTGGGCAACAAAGTATGACCCTGTCTCAAAAATAGATGGCAAGATTAAATTAAAAAATAAGAAAAACAAAATAAGTAGGTAAAAACCACAGCCAAAAAGAAAAAGAGAGAGAGAAGAGAGAGAAAGAAAAAAAAAAGAGAGAAAGAAAAGAAGAAAAAAGTACCATGACCATTTCTAGGGTAACCTGATGGAATTATCAAGATAATTATGCAAGACAAAATAAATAAATAAGTAATAAGTAAAACCACAGCAAAAAAAAAAAAAAAAAAAAAGTGCCTTGATCATTTCCAGGGTAAACTGATGGAATTATCAGGATTTCACAGTAGAATTAATTTGATTAAAGGCACAGCTGCGGAAGAGGTGGAGTCTGCATAAGCTGATTGAATCTGAGGCCTCTAGTGTGTTTAAGGACTCAGACCATAAGAGCAAAACCGTTTGAGTTCAAATCTAGTATATGTATTTGATTCTGTGACCTCCTGCAAATATTTAATATCTCTAAGTCTCAGTTTTCGCTTTACATGGTAACAATGATAAAATCCACTTCCTAATACTGGTGAGGGTAAAATTCGCTAATTAATGTCCATTGCTTCCCTGCACAATGAGAACAGGGGAAGTGATTGCATTAATGTCCGAGGCCCCTAGTAGGTCACTCAATCACTCAGTCCATACAGGCGGTAGGTCGCTGGTGCCCTGGGCTCCGCCCCGAGGGGCGTGGCTGACCAAAGACACATGTATAAAAACCCAGGCCCCAGAAGGCGCCCAGCAGTTTCAGAGTGAGTTCCTCTCGGTTTGCAAGTAGCAAAATACCCGGCCTGCAATGCGGATCAATTTCTGGTGAGTCTGTGCCTCCAAACGCAAACGCAAGGGTCAGTGTCATGGGATGGTAGGTCTGAAACTCAAAGCTTTAGGAGTCCAGAATGCTAGCAAGGAAGCCCACTAATAGGGGAGGACAGACAGGCGTCTAAAACGGTTCATTTATTGAGGACCATTTTTACCTCCACTAGCCTGCCCTGCGCAGGGCTTGCCTTTCACCAGACAGGCGAGGGGTCTGCATAGGAGGCTGTGGTTGTGATTCCTGGGGGGGGTCTCTCGAGGGCACCCGAAGATCTTTCTATCACATTGGCAGGAGCCCAGGACGAGATCGTGGTCTGGTCAAAGTCTCATGGAAGTATGCAACGCTGTGCCCATGAGTCAGCGGGGACTGAGTGGATTGAGTTGAATTATTAGAGATCCAGAGAAGGAGGCATAGCCCGTGGGCAGGACTATCAGGGTATTTTTTATTTTGTTTTGTTTTTTGAGTCAGAGTCTTGCCCTGTTGCCCAGGTTGGAGTGCAGTGGCACGATCTTGGCGCACTGCAACCTCCACCTCCCAGATTCAAGCGATTCTCGTGCCTCAGCCTCCCCAGTAGCTGAGATTACAGACGTGCATCACCACACCCAACTAGTTTTGTTGTTGTATTTTTAGTAGAGACAGGGTTTCACCATTTTGGCTAGGCTGGTCTCAAACTCCTAATCTCAAGTTATCTGCATGCCTCGGCCTCCAAAAGTGCTGACATTACAGGCCTGAGCCACCATGCCCAGGCGGACAATAATTCCTTAAACTGGGGGTGAAATCTATCTGTTTTTCCGAGGGCCGGAAGCTTTAGGGACCAGAAGCAGACCTAGAGCAGATGGAGTGGGAAATCAGGCCTTTCCAAGGTTCCCAGTGGGATCCATCAGGCCTTGCTCAGGATGAAATGAAGTTCTGCTCAGAGGAGCTTCTAGTCCAGTGCTGGAGAGAAGGGGTAGACAGGAGTTAAGCTGTTATAAGGGCAGGAATGGTGGGAAACAACGTGTAAGAGTAAGATGCTATTAGAGGCTGATTTTTAAAGTTTGTTTTTGTTTTTTAGAGAGGAGGGGGTCTTGCTATATTGCCCAGCTTCCACTGCGGCTTTAATCATCTCCCTTCTTCTAAGGGTGCCTCCTTCTAGTTCTTAGGAAATTCCACTTATTTCCTGTCATAAATATATATATATATGTTTTATATATATATACATATACATTTATATATATTTATTTATATATACATATATATGTTTTTATATATGTTTATATATTTATATATGTTATATATATTTATATATAAATATATATATAAATATATATAATATATGTATTTATATTATATATATTTTATTTATATATTATATATTTATATATTTTTAATTTATATATATTATATATAAATATATATTTATATATATTTATTTATGACTGGAAAATATATATTCTATATATAATATACATATTATATCATATATCAAAACCAGTTTTGGGTTTTTTAAATTTTTCTCTCTATATATACATATATATTTAAAGCCATCTATCATTTCTATGATTTGATATAGAAGGGAAGGACTTCAAGGTCTCCTCAATCCACCACAATCAATGGCAGTCCAGTCACACATTTTGAATATGTGTAAATTGTGGTATCTCTCTATTCTGAGAGTCAGGACAAGGCAGGAGGGACCAGGCTTTGATGGCAGAGATGGGGAAGGAGAACGTATTAGATCAGATATCTTGGCTGGGTAGGGCAGACTGAGCAATGGACTGGATAGGGACATGGCAAAACTGAGTGGACTGATCTGGCTAGAGCAGGACAAAAGCAGGGAAGAGGTGCCCAGGATGAAAAAGATGTGAGGCTACCCAGATGGTGGCTTTGAGGAGCTCGTTATAAACTTGACACTTTTCTTGCAGATCATATGGGGCAGAGAAAATAATAAATAAATAAACAAACAAACTTGATATCAGAGACATAGGAAGCCTAGAAGCATGGCCACTTTGAACAGAAATATAAACCTTGTCCATATGCACGGTTAGGCCTCTGTCTCCAAGAAACTGCTTCTTAGAATGTGTCTTAGTCTGTTCTGTCCAGGTGCTGGTAAATTCGGGGTCTCGTAAGGGCATGCTTTCTGGTTCATAGATGGCACCTTTTAGCTGTGTCCTCACCTGGTAGAAGTGAAGAACTCTGCCCCTCAGCCCCTTAGAACACTCATCTCATTCTTGAAGGCTCTGTCTCCATGACCTAATCATCTTCCAAAGGTCCCACCTTCTAATCCAATCACACTGGAAATTCAGTTTTAATATGTGAAATTTGGAGAGACACAAACATTCAGTCCATAGTAGAATGGTTCCTGGAAGCTGGTGGTTTCCAGGATGGTTCTCAGGAGGCCAGAATCACTGGGTGCCCCCAGAGAGATCTCTGGGAGAAATGTCCCCATTTATCCAGGGGTCTGTGAGGACCCAGAGCCAGATAGGTCCTGTACAAGTTAAGAGTCTTCCGCCTAGGCCAAGTCAATTCACCTCCCTGGACTTCTATTTTCTTTAAAATGGGATTAATCATCACTCTAGGGTCACAGTGGAAATGAAATGAGAGAATTTATTTGAAAATTTAATCAGCTGAATCTCCAGTAAGATATCTGGAGAGAAGACTTTGGAAAAGTCTCTGGGGTAAGATCTCTTCAGAGGATGATGGGACATTCACGACATTCATCTAAACTCTCACCTCCATTGGTAGATAGGAGTAGCTTAGTAAAAGTTTACACCTGAGAAATGTTTGCGCTTTTAAAATGTTACTGTGTGTAGAGGGTACACTGGATGAAGCTAACTCTAGAGTCAGTTGAGAGGCAATTACAGGCTTCTGGGCAACAGATGATGGTGGGCTGGATTAGGATAGGGTCAATAGGGATGGAGAAGGAGGGTATGTGAGGATTGGAATTTGAGCTGGGATGAACCCCTGACCTATTCACTTTTTTGCAGGATCCCATAACTAAAGATCTAGTTCAGTCATCAGCCAACAGCAGAGATGGATTCTAGTCTCTTCCAGGCAATTGAGGAAATTAAGGATTTTTTCCAGCATCTCTCTGAGCAACATACAAAACAGGCAGAAACCCCAGATGCACCAGAACCACAGTGCTGCATGCCTCTGCCCGCCCATGCTGAGGAGAGCCAACACGAGTCAACTCAGAACAAAACCATGCCTCCCTTGGAGCTCACAATGACTTCTGCATGCACTAACATCCCTGGGACAGTTCCCACCCAGGACTTAACAGTGCACCTTCTTAAAGCCCTTGATATGTCCCTTGAAGACCTAAGTGAGACTTCTTCCATGGGCCAGACAGTGACTTCCTTTGATCAGATAAAACACACAGCTGGTTCCCAGATGACAGATGTTACTGACACCCCAAAGACATCACCCACTGATTGCCAGAAGACAACCATCACTGCAAGCAACATGACAATCTCCAGTGAAGGTAGCCAGCTGAAGACCCTAAGCAGTGACCAGACCCTCAGTGAGAGTCAGACACAAGCCCTGCGTGGAGATCAAATGAAGACCCTCAGTGATAACCAGACTCTCTATGGGGACCAGATGACCTTCAGTAGTGACCAGACCCTCACTGATGGTCATACAGGGACTTCCAGTGGCGATGAGGCCCTCTCTGAGGGCCAGATGATAACCAGCCTAGACCTCTACGTAGGGCAAATGATGACTTCCATTGATAATCAGACCCTCTGTGGGGAGCAGACGACGACCTCCACTCATAATCAGGCCCTCTACCAGGGGCAGGTGACGACCTCCACTGATAACCAGGCCCTCTGTGGGGAGCAGACAATGACCTCCACTGATAATCAGGCCCTCTGTGAAGAGCAGACGATGACCTCCACTTCCACTGGTAACCAGGCCCTCTGTGGGGGACAGATGGCAACCTCCACTGCTAGCCAGGCCCTCTACGGGGGACAGATGATGACCTGCATTGGTAACCAGGCCCTCTGTGGGGGACAGATGATGACCTCTATTGATAACCAGGCCCTCTATGGGGGACAGATGATGATCTGCACTGATAACCAGGCCCTCTGTGGGGGGCAGATGATGACCTCCACTGGTAACCAGGCCCTCTACGGGGAACATATGATGACCTCTATTGATAACCAGGCCCTCTACGGGGGACAGATGATGATCTGCACCGATAACCAGGCCCTCTGTGGGGGGCAGGTGACGACCTCCACTGGTAACCAGGCCCTCTACGGGGGGCAGGTGACGACCTCCTCTGGTAACCAGGCCCTCTGTGGAGAGCAGACGATGACCTCCACTTCCACTGGTAACCAGGCCCTCTACGGGGGACAGATGATGACCTGCATTGGTAACCAGGCCCTCTACGGGGGTCAGGTGACGACCTCCACCGGTAACCAGGCCCTCTACGGGGGGCAGGTGACGACCTCCACCGGTAACCAGGCCCTCTACGGGGGGCAGGTGACGACCTCCACCGGTAACCAGGCCCTCTACGGGGGACAGAATATGACCTCCATTGATAACCAGGCCCTCTATGGAGGCCACATGGCAATATATAGTGACAACTCGACCCTCTCTGGGGTCCATATGCTGACCCTTCAGGCAGGCAATATGACAACCCTCACTGGTGACCACAGCCTTTATGGGGGATATATGACATCCTATCAGTCCTCATTGTCATACCCGGGATTCCTATGCTTTCCAAGTTCCCATTTGATTCAAGGACAACTCTCAGAAAAGCAGAAGACCCAGAGCAGCCAGTTCTGGAAGAATCCTAAGATTTCGAAGCCCTTCAAATGCCCACATGAGGACTGTAAGAACTCTTATTCAAAGGCTTGCCACCTCCGAACCCACATGCGCAAGCACACTGGTGAGTGAGGGCCCAGGAACAGGGGTGAGGGGCGAGTGGCTACAGATTTGTGCCTTTGCAAAGCTCTGGGAGCATTTGAGATTGCTGCCACTTCCCCAGGGACTCAAGAAGATTCTATAAATAGAAAAGGTTGGCACCTTTAGAAGGGCGGATAAAGCAGTCCTAGGGACAGGCTCTAGTCCTGGACCAGAGCCAGGCTGGCTGCAGCCTTTGGTGGCGTTGACTGCTGGTTTGATGGGAATCAGTGGAGGGATTTCTTTGGCCCCTTGCAGATAGATGTTCTTGACACTATTTCTACTGGGACCGTCACTTCATAGACCTCCTCTCAGGGTCCCTGGGCCCCATTTCCCTCATCCTCCTTATCCCCTTCACTAACTTGCCTGCCAATAACTATCTCTCCTCCTGTTTTGCTTTGTTTTTTCTTCCTTTTCTTTCCTCTTCTTCCCGCCTTCAGTTTTCGTCTTATCTCCAGCTTTTGCAGCCCTCATTCCCCTCCTCCTTCACTCACCTCCCCAACTCCCATCTCCTCTGGCTGTCCTTCTCCCACTTCAACTTGCTCAAAACCTTTTTCTCGTTCACTTTCAATGTCCCTGACCTTCCTCACCCTGATACATGACAGGTCTCTCTCTCTCTCTCTCTCTCTCTCTCTGGTCCAGGGGAGAAGCCCTTCGTATGCAACGTGGAGGGATGTACGTGGAAATTCAGTCGCTCAGATGAGCTCAACAGACACAAGAAAAGGCACACTGGAGAACGGCCCTACCTGTGCCCAGTTTGCAACAAGAATTTTGCACGATCTGATCACCTGAGGCAACATGCAAAGGTCCACAGCATTTGCCGAGAATTATGAGCCCTTCAGCCCATGAGGAAATGTGTACAGCTGAAAGATTCTCCCTACTGAGCTTGTTTCCCTTGAACAAGCTCCCCTGTTTCCCTATGCCGGTAGCTAGTAGGTGTTCAATATTATTTGTAAGTTTTCTAAAATATACAAAATAGGTGTCCATATTCACATAAACACCAGACAGCTTTCGACTTGGAACCAGAAGTGCTCTTCGTTCATTCCCCTCTCTCAGGGTAACTGCTTTTGTCAGCATGCTGTGAATCCTTTGAGATCTTACTCTGCATTTACCTCTATGTGTATTGTAAAACTGTATCTATACAGATAATTAATATTGATCTTAATTACTCAGAGGGTAAAGAATGGAATGTTCTTTTTTTTGTCTGTACTTGAGCCCATGTTTCTTTGGAGCTTCATTCCCATGAGGTGAAAAGGAGGGGACTCAGTCACATCCAGGGTAAAGTGGTCTCAGGTTAAATGGACTTTACTTAGTTGAGTACTTAGCCTATTCAAAAGTTCAACCTCAGTCAGGTGTGGTGGCTTACACCTGTAAGCCTAGCACTTTGAGAGGCCGAAGCAGGTGGGTCATGAGGTCAGAAGTTGAAGATGGTGAAAAATTTTGTAATTTTTAAATTACAAAAATTCACCAGGCGTGGTGGTGGGGGCCTATAATCCCAGCTACTCAGGAGGCTGAGGCAGGAGAATTGCTTGAGCCCGGGGGGGGCAGAGGTTGGAATGAGCTGATTGTGCCATTGCACTCCAGCCTGGGAGACAAAGTGAGACTCCATCTCAAAAAATAAATAAAATAAAAAATTATCCAGAGGTGGTGGTGTGCACCTGTAATCCCACCTGCCTGGGAGGCTGAATTGGGAGGATCACTTGAACTCAGTAGTTGCAGTTAGCACCAGTGCACTCCAACCTGGGTGACAGAGCAAAACCCTGTCTCAAAAGATAAAGATATTGTATAATATTATGTGTGAAATATATTGAATAAGATATTTAAGTTATAAGTAGAAAAAATGAGCACCTGTAAGAGCTTGTCACCCAGTGTCATGCAATCAGGTGTTGAGATGGCCAATTAGGACAATGACCTAGATGAAAAGGAACGATCAGGCTTATTTACTGACGGCTACAGAGCAGATGGAACAGACAGCCTTAGCCAAGACCCCAAATAAAGAGGTCTCTGAATGGAAGCACCTGAGCTAGAAATGCAGCTGTGCATCCGAGCACAGCTGGCCTGTGGTGGTGGGTGCGGCTCTGTTCCGGTTCCCTCTAGAAGCAGAACGTCCTTCAATGACTCACATAAACCCAGGGCATAAAACTCTGGGCGGGCTGCTTGCTGGGGTCCTTCAGCTGTGGTACAAGTGGAGCACAGGCAGTGAAGACTCCATCCACCCTGGGCGGCTTTCCTGAGCCTTGGAGGACTAACTCCCAATGAATCCTTGATTGCTGTTCCTTGCTGCCTGTTAGTAATAAACCCATTTTATTTGACTTGCTGTGTGTATGGGTGTCATTGGATCTCCGTGGACTCAGACAAGCTGATAACCAGTGCACAGTGAACCTGCCTTACAGTGGGGATGCCAAGTCCTTGACTATAGCTCCTTTCAGAAAACTGCAGTGTCCTGGCTGTGTACCAAGTCTGATGAGCTCCCTTACCCATCTTTCTATCTTCTAGAATTAATAACTACCCTGAATTTTGTATATATAAATTTCTTTGATACATTTATTAAAAATGCATGTATTCAAAGATAATGTATAGGTTATTTTGAACTTCATAAAGATTATGCTAAGCTATATAGTCTTCTGGAACTCCCTTGTTTTCACCACAACATTATATCTCTAAGATTTCATCCATGTAATTACTAAGACCAATGAAAATAATCCATAACAACCCCAAACAGAACTTCCCTACATTGTCAACACACCATTGTGGGGGCGGGAAGTGATAAACCAAAGGAAGATGAGGGTGCACTAGAATCTTCCTTGAAGTACAAAAACTACAAAAAGAAAACAGTACAGCTTTCCTCATTATCCAGATCTACTCTGCTGGATCGTGACTTTTTAGACTAAAGGAGTTTTTATCCCATTAACCTAAATATGAAAAATAGTAACGTGTTCTCAATCCATCCAAAAACCCAACCATTTCCTCAAATTTCACTACAACTCTTATATGATAATAAACTCGGCCAGGTGTGGTGGCTTATGCCTGCAATCCCAGCACTTTGGGAGGCCGAGGTGGGCAGATCACCTGAGGTCAGGAGTTCAAGACCAGCCTGACCAACAGGGAGAAACTCCATCTCTACTAAAAACACAAAATTAGCTGGGCATGGTGGTGCACGCCTATAGTCCCAGCTACTTGGAAGGCTGAGGCAGGAGAATCACTTGAACCCGGGAGGTAGAAGTTGCAGTGGGCTGAGATTGCACCATTGCACTCCAGCCTGGGCAATAAGAGTGAAATTCTGTCTCAAAAAAAAAGAAAACTTAATAAATACATTAGTAGACATGGTAGTACACAGGATACAAAGACACCATGCGGTACTGGATGCCAGTTACATGCTCCTGATTGCATCAGCCTGAGTTCAATCAAGAGAGACAGCATACAGTGTTTTTGGGGCACATGTTCTCAGGATCTCCTGAAGGCTGTGTCACAGGAGGAAAAAGAGAGAGACAGCATACAGTGTTTTAAACAAGGGAAGTTTAATATAAAGAATTTTAAAAGGACCTGGTGTGGAGGCTCACACCTGTAATCCCAACAGTTTGGGAGGCCGAGGCAAGCAGATCACTTGGGGTCAGGAGTTCAAGACCAGCCTGGCCAACGTGGTGAAGCCCCGTCTCTACTAAAAATGCAAATACTGGCCAGGTGTGGTGGTGTGCGCCTATAGTCCCAGCTACTTGGGAGGCCAAGGTATGAGAATCGCTTGAACCCAGGAGGCAGAGGCTTCAGTAAGCTGTGACTGTGCCATTGCCCTCCAGCCTGGGCACTAAAGTGAGACTCTGTCTCAAAAAAAAAAAAAAATACTAAGGGTAAATATAAAATATAAGAGGACACAACCCTAGGGCTGAGAGTTCCCAAGCAAGGACAAACTTGGAAAATGAGCTCTAAGACTGGAGTTTGGATCTCATTGGAGAAAGTATAGCCGCAGACCATGAGTGGTGGAGAAGTTTGCTAGTTAGGAGTCACTGGGGAAGCACAGCTGGTCAGCAGTTACTGGTCAAGCAGGAAACAACTCTCCAGGGTGCAGGTGAGCTGTGGACAGGAGGCAGGTGTGTAGGAGGGAGTGGAGGTGCTGATGTGGGCAGGAGGCATGGAAAACTGTCCACGTTGGAAGGCTCATGTGTAGGAGTTCCATCAGGATGGTGGGAGAAATTGTAGGAAAAGAACATAAACCTTGGAAGACCGGAGAGTCCTGCAAAAGCCTCAGAATAGGATTTGGCTGAAGGCAGCCAGATTCTCTTATCCAGTGCCTGAAAGCTTAAGTTAGATAACTAAGGGGTGTAAAGAAACTGATCTAGATAAGTTAGTCTACTTATGCCTCGGAACCTGGCCTTTAACCATCTGTAAGACTGCTTTCTCTGGGGGGCAACCATATTAATTATCCACAAGTATGTTGACTCAAAGCCTTTGCCATTAAATCTATACTGAATGAATACCTGCAGTGCCAGCTTGTGAGGGCTGCGGCTGCTGACTGTTTACAGCACCCTCCTTGGTGTCTGTGAGTGGCCCGGACCCCTAGCCTACACTTTCACTGGGTATCTGTATCTGAGTGCATTTGTTCATCCATCGCTGGGTTAGGGTCTGCAGGTCGGACCTGACAGCCATGGTGCTGGGAGGGTCAAGGACACTGGTGTGGGTGAGAGGCGTAAAGTATGCAGTGTCTGTATTGAGGGGGCTGCAGGAAGGTGGTCACCAGGCTGGGCTGGGATTGTAAGGTTAATAAATAGGTGAAAATGGTGAATGACTACACAAATAGGGCAATGAAATTAAGTTGAAAGTCCATAATAGACACAAGTACATATGGAAATATATAATAAAAGCGACATCTCAAAACACTGTAGCAAAGATGAACTTTAACAAATTGTGCTGGGGGCTGGGTACAGTGGCTCACGTCTGTAATCCCAGCACTTTGAAAGGCCAAGGCAGATCACTTGAGACCAGGAGTTCAAGACCAACCTGGCCAACATGGTGAAACCTTGTCTCTACTAAAAATACAAAAATTAGCCTGGTGTGGTGGCACAGGTCTGTAATCCCAGCTACTCGGGAGGCTGAGGCACAAGAACCTCTTGAATGTGGGAAGCAGAAGTTACAGTAAGCCAAGATCACACCACTGCACTTCAGCCTGGGTGACAGAGCAAGATTCTGTCAAGAAAAAGAAAGAAAGAAGGGAAGGAAGGAAGGAAGGAAGAAAGGCAGGCAGGCAGGCAGGAAGGAGGGAAGGAATTGTGCTGTGACTGGGAATGGTGGCTAATGCTTGTAATCCCAACACTTCGGGAGGTTGAGGAGGAGGATTGCTTGAGCTCAGGAGTTTGAGACCAGCCTGGGCAACATAGTGAGACCCAATCTTTACAGAAAAATAGGAAATTAGCCAGCCATGGTGGCATGCATCTGTTCTCCCAGTTACTTGGGAGGTTGAGGTGAAAGGAACACTTGAGCCCAGGAGGTTCAGGCTACAGAGAACCACGAGGGCACCACTGCACTCCAGCCTGGATGACAGAGCAAGACTCTCTCTCAAGGAAAAAAAAAAAAAAGTACCAGAATTTAAAAAGATGAATTCCTCTATAACCAGAATTTAGAGAAAAGTTCTGTGACTCAAATCCAGATGCAACAACAAAAAAAATGGTAAAGTTAAATGCATGATACTATGAAAATGAGAATCTTTCCAATGGCAAGAAAAAAAAAATCAAAAGACAACTGGTGGCCAGGCACAGTGGTTCACACCTGTAATCCCAGCACGTTGGGAGGCCCAGGTGGGCGGATCACGGGGTCAGGAGATCGAGATCATTTTGGCCAACAT